CAGCTCCCATCCACGTCCACACCCCAGCACCACAGCTCCCGTCCACGTCCACACACCAGCTCCCATCCACGTCCACACCCCAGCATCACAGCTCCTGTCCACACACCTGCACCACAGCTCAAGTCCTCGGCCTCCCACAGTGTCAGGGCTTCTGCCACCCTCAGCTCCCGTCCCAGGCACTAAGCACCAGTGAAGACAGGTGGGGAAGCGCCCAGCCCTTTGTCCGCACACGGGGAGCACTGTCCACACCAGCTCCTGAGCAGGCCCAGCACCCCTCCACCCCACTCACGCCATCTGCTGGTTCCCTCAGGCCTTGGCTCTCAGACTCCACCTCCGCTGCCTCCAGACTCTGAAGCTCCAGTCGTTCCAGGGTCCGAGCGGCCTGGAGTTCCACCTCGAACAGGTGGGTTGAGGTGACCCGGAGGAAGCGTTCCCTGCCGCGGACACCCTTGGACCCCTCCAGGGGACATACCAACATAGGGCGACACAGCTCCCCTGCAGAATCACCCACAGAAGAGCCCTGTAAGGGGGAGAGGTACCCAAAAATGCCACCCTTCTAGATGGGCCTCTATCCAGTGCCCACTGCCAGGTGTGGATACATCTAACCCTCCTGAGACAGTCCAGCACTTCTGGGCCCCTCTCCCCTCACAGTTCCCCCAGGTCAGGGTTGGAGAGTGGGTCCCAGAGTGCCCACCTTCCACTTCGTTCTGTCCCTGCTCCTCCTCTTTCTCATCCTCTTCTTCCAGGTCCTCCTGGGGCTCCGGCCCCTCCCTGACCTCTGCTGCCGTTTCCTGGGGTGACTCCCCAGAGTCGCTGGCTTTTTTCTTTGGAGATGGAGGGCCAGGAGGAAGCTCCTGGTCTGGGGCATCTAGGGGCAGTGGGCTGAGGTCAGACGTCTCGGGGGTGGCCACAGGGGGGTTCTCAGAGGTCTCCAAGTGACTCTTATACTGCAGCCAGTCACAGCCAAACCGCTCCCGGAAGCTATTCATGAGTTCCAGTTCCCGATGCTGCTGTTCAAACCAGCCTGGGTGTGGGGGGGACGGGGTGCACAAAGCTGAACAAGCTGCGGGCTCTGCGCCCCATCACCCCACCTTTCTCCAGGGTGCTCGGAGAAGCGTCTGAAGGAGTATAAGGTGGAGGTTGGCAGGAGGCTAATGGCGCCCAGCAGCACCTCCTGTACCATCTCTACTCAGAACCACTCATCGGGGCTCCTTCCGGGCGTCCTAACATGCGTGCAGGAGCATAACCAAGGTCCCAAGACGCCCTGCCTGCTTCACTCTCATTCCTCACACTTATTTGGCCACAAAACCCTTTTAATATATAACCTTTTAACACCACTCAAAATTAAACTTCCCTGAAACACCCTCTGAGAGAGGCTGCTTGGGAGTGGTCTCTTCTCCCTTCCCTAAACTGAAAGAAAACAGGAAAAACTAAGAGCCCCTTTGTCCTACCAAAGAAGACATTCTTCCTGCCACATGCCCAGTGAAATGATAAGATGAGCACATGCTGAACTGGGGTCAGAGGAGAGGATGCGTGAGGTAGGATGACTCACCAGATGGGGAGGGGTCCCGAGTCCGGGGTTCTGGATCCGTATCACTGGGCTCCGAGATGCTGGCCCGCCTCACGCGGACTCGGCTCTGACGGTGGGATGAGGAGAGACACTCTACAAAAAGCCCTCACGGCCCACCCACCAGCCAGCAATGATAAGGCCCAATTATTCCTAACCCATTAGCAGCTTGGTGCCCCGGGCAAAGGCAGCCAGGAACACCGCTCACCTTGACCTTCCGAAGCAAGGGTCGGGCCATAACACCCCCAGAAGAAGGGCTGTCACTCAAGTCGGCACCACCTGAAGTCTCAGGGGTACTCCCAATGGGCCAGGGAACAGGGGGTGCCTCAGAGCAAAGCCCTGAAGAGGTGGAGGCCTAGCACGTGACAACAGGAAGAAAGAGGTTGGAGGGAGGACTACCTCCTCAAGCTAGCCCCTCATGTCCTTCCAGACCTGCCCCTGCCCTCCCACCCTGCCACCCTCGCCACACTCACCTGAAAATCAGTGAGTGATAGGATCTCACCATCGAGGAGGAACTGGACAAAGATCAAGGATCGAGGAAGAATGTCATGGGGGAGCGGGCCCCTGGGTGCATTCCCAAGTCATACAAGCCGAATTAGCATGAAAAGGCCCCTCTCCCAGAGAAGACGTAGGACAGGAGCACCCGGGTGCAGCACGGGTGGAGGACTATCAGGAAAAGGGACCGAGAGCAGATACAAGACAGTCGCTCACCCCGGGTACCGCGTCCCTGGCTCGGGGTGACAAGGACTGCGCAGTGGCCACTCTGTGAGCAGGGTGGAACGACAGAGGGTTCCCCTCCAGGTAGAGCTGCAGGGCAGGAAGAGGCCAGTAAGGTGGGCCTAGGGTCCTCTCACACTCAAGAAAGACCACTGGACAAAGCAGCAGGAGGGCACTCCCAGGGCCCTAAAGCACCCCATCCCACCTTCCGGAGCTCGGCCAGCAGCCAGAGTGGTGACAGGTCCTGGTGCCCCTCCAGCAGGTTGTAGGCCACGTCCAGATGCCGCAGGTTCCGCAGCTGCTCAACACCTGCAGGCAGAGAGAAGGGCGAAGGTGAGCATGTGAACTCCGGCGGTGAGCAGTGTGGTGTAGGGAGAGCACCTCCTCTCCACCTGTGCGTCCAATGAGGCTCAGGAGCAGCCCAGGCCACCTCGCCCAGCCCTGAGCGGAGCACGGCCCCCACTGCTCTGCACGTGCCCCACTCCCACGCCCCCACACACCGAGCAGGCTCCGGAGCTCATTGCCTCGCAGTATCAGGGTCCTCAGCGCTGCCCCTGAGGCTCCCAATCTGGGTACCAAGTGCAGGTAGTTATAGGAGATGTCCAGATGGCAGAGCTCAGATAGGTCCTGGGGGGCAAACAGTGGGGGTGGGAGTGAGAAAGGGGATCTCCACCACTGTCACAAAAGTCGATGTTTCTAGGCAGGAGGATACGCATTACGTCACAATCGCTTCAAAGCACCCTCTGATGAGGACCTGATTCCAGCTCATGGAAACTACGCTCCTGGGTTTCTGAGGGTGTCACCTCCAAGGGACAAAGTCTGCTCACCTTTCTTCCGTGGAGAGACTGGTGGATTTGAACTGCTTAACCTTCACTACCTCAATACTTTAAGAGCAGACACTCCTCTGACTTCCATTTTCAAGGAAGGTCATGCAGGTATTAGAAGGTGAGATTTAAACTCTGATCTGAGCTCCTGAACAGTATTTATTACTTCCCAGATGTGGCGCTACCCCAGGAGTCAGGTGAGAGAAAGACTGGGCCCAGGAGAAAGGGCCAGAGGCATCAAAGGCCAGACGCCAGCCCAGTCAGGCTGCCACACTCACCATCAGAAAGTCCTCACAAGCCTGGACTTGATTGTGACTCAGGTTCAAGACACGCACAGCTGACAAGAGATGCTGAGAGGATGAAGAGGAGACCAAGAATTGCGCTCGTGGCACAGACCCTGCAGGCAGCCAGCTGTCACCTCCCAAACCCTTGTCCCAGTCCTTACTGGACCCTTCCTCCAATCCCTTCCTGCTGTGCCACTCACCAGGGAGTTGTCTAAGGCAGCCAGGGAGTTGTAGCTGAAGTTGGCAGAGAGCAGAGCCAGCCACGGGAGGGCAGAGCAGAGGTCACCACCACAGGCCGAGAGGAGCTCCTGAGGGGCAGACAGGGGCTTCACTACCCCCATCCTCACCCTCCCCACCACAGCCCTGCTCCATCACCCAGTCACTCACTGTTCTCCATGGACCGGGCTTGTCTGGAGGTGCAGACTTATAAAACACCCAGATCCCGGCCCCCAAGTGAGGAATCAGACACTACAAGATTGACTACACTATGTAAAGGATGTGGAGAGATGCAGGGTGCTGTGGGAGGAGGATGGAGAGCACTGCAGGGAGGCAGAAGGCACCCAGGCTGCAGGAGAACTTCAGAGACTGGTCCTGGTGGCTCTGAACACAAGGTCATGCAAGTCTACGTGACCCTGCTCACCTCCAATGCCTGGATGCTCCGGCTGCAAATCAGGGTCTCCAGCTGGGAGTAGATGCCACGGAGGCCACGCAGGCAGTGGAGGGGGACACCCTGGAGCTGGGGCAAGGGAAGGAAGGCAGAACATCATGTAAGACAACGATCTCATCCCTGCCTCCAGGAGACAGAAGGGGGAAGGTGATAAAGCTATTAATAATTCTGAGAATCAGTAAATGGGCAAGTGGAAACCACATCACTATGGGGCAACAGCTACACTCAAAGCACCTCCCCAAAGAATCCAGCTCTTCCTCCTCATCTCCAACTAGCTGCCTCCAGCTGGGTTTTGTGCACCAACATTCCCCAAGGCCCCCATACCTCCAGATGCCGCAGGGACTTGAAAGGAAAAATCTTGATGGGTCCTGGGGGTCCAGGACCAGGGACATGGACCAACTGAAAGAAAGAGCACTGTGGTCATAGAGACACAGTGATCTCTCTCCTCAGCATCCTTTCCTATAGCCCTGACCGGATCTAGACCGTGGCCCTAAAGCCTTCTGGCACCCACCCTCCAGTCCCAGCTCCACCCCAGCCTCCACCACTGTATATACTGCCGGTACCCCCAGCCCTAGAACCTTGAGTGAAAGTGTTTTCTGTAGCACATCGAAGAGGAACTGAAGCTGGAGAATGATGGGGGAGTCTGCGGGGTGAGAGGGCAGAGCCACGAAGCCTGTCTGTCCGGGACTCCATGGCCCCAAGTGCAGCTCAAACACGCGGTTCAGCTGCTGCAGGGTGACAGTCAGCAGGCTCAGAGTGCTGCAGCCGGACAGGACCACGTCCCCTAGGGGCAGAAGGGCAGACAGGAAGAAGGACACAATGAATCTTGATCATGGATGGCCATGGCCCTCACTCTAGCCCGACAGCTAGTGACTCATCAGTTCCAGACTTTGTGAGTCCAAGATTCAACTACTCTAATCCACACTGCTTATTTTGCACTAATGCTTCTAACTTTCCATCCTTTCTTGCTCAAAAGTCTTCAATGGTTCCACTCATCTTAACAAAAATAAATAAAACGCGGACTCTTCAGCCTGATACACAAAACTGAAACTGCTTCATCAAAATTCCAAATGACTGATGCTTCCTCCTTCTCAGCGGGACCCTTCTGCTCAAGAGGGCTGCTTTGCTCACAATGCCAGAAATACAGTCAGCCTGGTTCAAGTCCCCTCATTGTCTAAGGCACCTCCTTCTATCTGATCAGCTCAAGACCTACCTCCTCCTCTCAACTTCCCCTCTCAACACACTCTTCCTCTCACCATCCCTCACCCCGAGACTCATGTCAGATTTTGGTGAATAAGTTAGCAAATCCTACAGTCGAGATTTTACACATAACATACTAGGGTATGTTCATAGATCAAGAACTTGTCCAATCTAGAAGAGGTGTGCTCAATCATATAACGTTGTTGTTATTGTGTACCATCAAGTCGAAACCACCCCACAGCTGACCCTCCAGCGGGTTTTCAGAAGCATTTAATTTCACAGGAGGGGACTGCCCATCCTTCTCCCTCAGAGCAGCTGGTGGCCTCGAACTGCATACTTAGGGATTGTACCACAACTTTTTGCCAATAGGTCACCAGAGCTCCCTATATGACAGAAGTAAATAAACTATAAAAGAGAATTCTCCAGAGTCTATCAACATACAAAAGTGGAAAGAAACTACAACGATTAATTGACTACAATGAGCAAGGTATCTAGACATGTCTCTCATTCAAACCGCCACAGAATCTCTGAAAGAGAAGCATTATAAACTAATAGATATGAAAACTAAGGTTCAAAACAGCAGTTGAGAAATTGAACTCATAAAGTAGTAGCCAGTTGTTTCTTTGGTCTGAACTAAAAGTCAACACTTGGTCGACCACGAATGTCAAATGTCAACCACATGTTGAACAGGACTTCTGACATCCTAGGTCATCCATTGTGCTGCCAACCCAAAAGCATGCAGCTTGAATCCATAGCCAGAAAAGATGAGCAATCTCCTCACATGGGATTTGCAGCCTCTGAAATTCAGCTGGAGGGTCAGCTATGAGTGGGTTCCAACTTGATGGAACATAACAACAACAGAATGAACAAATACCAGGGGCACTAAGGGGAGAAATTATAGCTAAGTCCAGGCTGGGTTTAGAAGAGGTCATGGTACTAGGGATATTGTAGCTGATGTTAGATGGATATTGGCTGAAAGCAGGGAATACCAGAAGAATGTCTATCTGTGTTTCATTGATTATGCAAAGGCATTTGACTGTGTGGATCATAACAAACTGTGGCTGACTCTGAGAAGAATGGGAATCCCAGAACATTTGATTGTGCTAATGCGGAATCTATACTTGGACCAAGAGGCAGTCGTCAGAACAGAGCAGGGAAAGAAACACTGCATGGTTCAAAATTGGGAAAGGTGTACACCAGGGATGTATCCTATCTCCATACCTTTTCAACCTGTATGCAGAACAGATTATCCGAGAGGCTGGGCTCAATGAGAAGTGTGGTGTCAGGATTGGTGGAAGATCTATCAACAATCTGCATTATGCAGATGACACAACCCTGCTTGCTGAAACTGAGGAGGACCTCATGCACTTGCTGCAGAGGGTCAAGGACTGCAGCCTTCAGTATGGATTGAGGTCAATGTCAGGAAGACAAAGATTCTCACCACTGAACCACTTGGCAGCATCAGGATGGATGGTGAAGAGATTGAGATTGTACACAGCTTTAGTTTGCTTGGCTCTATGGTCAACACTCTTGGCACCAGCAGCCAGGAAATCAAAAAACGTATTTCAATGGGAAAGGCTGCTGTTAGGGACCTCTCCAGGGTACTGAAGAGCAATGGTGTCACTCTTGAGACTAAGGTGTCTCTGATACAGGCTATGGTCTTTGCAATCACTTGTTATGCATCGGAGAGTTGGACAATAGCTAGGGAGTACAGAAGGAGAATTGATGCCTTTGAGTTGTGGTGCTGGAGAAAAGTATTGAATATATCATGGACTGCCAAGAAAACAGATTCATCCTTGAGAGGGTTAAACCAGGCTGCTCCTTGGAGGTAAGGATTCTGGGTCTTCGTCTGACCTACTCTGGACATGTTGTAAGGAGGGACAGGTCCTTGGAAAGAACATCATGCTTGGGAGGGGAGAGGGACAGCACAGGAGGGGAAGACCCTCTATGAGGTGGATTGATTCAGTGACTGGGGTAATCGGGATGGGTGTGTCAGAGGCAGTGCGATTGGCACAGGATAGAGCAGGGTTTAGGGCTGTTGTACATAAGGTCACTATGAGTCGTAAGCGACTCAACGGCACACAACAATAACAACTAATTTTTGGACATTTGTTACATGTGCAAATACAGTATTACAGATTTTATGCTGCTGTTGTATGCTACTGAGTTGGAAAATACCTAGAGCGAAAACTCCAGCAGGTTTTCTGAGGCACTAAACCACACAGGAGGAGACTGCCCATTCTCCTCCCTCAGAGCAGCTATCTGGTGGATTAGAACTGTGTGACTTTCGGACTGCAGCACAGTTTCTTATCATTAGGCCACCAGAGCTCCCTACATGCTGTACACTATTGTTACTGTTGTGTGCCATTCAGATGACATCCTCCAGCAGGTTTTGAGGCAGTAAATCACACAGGAGACTGCCCACCTTGTCCCAACAGAGCAACTGACGAATTCGAACCCAGTGCCTTCAGAATTGCAGCACAGCTTCTTACCACTAGGCTACTCGAGATCCCATGCTTTATGTTGTTGTTTGTTGTTATGTGCCATGGAGTTGCTTGCGACTCATAGCGACCCTATGTAGAACAGTCCAAAACTCCGCTCTGTCCTGTGCCAATCTGTTATCTAAATGTGTTCTGTTGTACATAGGGTTTTCAGAGGCCTGCTACTTCAGAAGTGGATGGCCAATCCTTCTTCCTAGTCTGTCTTAATGTGAGAGAAGTACCAGACAGACCAGCAAGTTAAACTAAAATTACCATGAGAACTTTTTTTTTAAATCGGGGTGTGTGTGTGTGTGTGTGTGTACCATCAAACCGAATCTGACTGGCACAGGAGGAGATGGCCTTCTTCTCCAGCAGAGCATCTGGTGGATTTTAACTGCACACCTCTGGGATTGCAGTGCAGCTTCTTGCCACTAGGCCACCAGAGCTCTCTCATGACAACTTTTAAGGTAAATAAAACCATTTTACCATTTTTTAAAGTGGAAAAATGAAGCTCAAAAAAAATTTAAACAAATCTGCCAAATTTGGGGGGAAAAGTGTTGGAATTTCAATCCAGGTGAGTCTCACTCCGAATCTAACGTTTTTACCTATGCCATACTTAAAGTCTTGTCACCTAACGACGATTATGTACAGCGCCTAGCTCCAAGGCCTTAAAATAACCACCAGCCAACTCATTTCCCTTTACAGAGTACCAGAGAAGTCGTAAAGGCAAGAGGCACTGGAGTTTGGCTTAGGATGACAAATGGTTTGGCGAAGACAGGTGACATTTGTTTGCAGCTGGCCCAGGACGAACAGATCAGAGGGAAGTAAAGAAACGGACGAACTCTGGCATGCAACCCCCGTGACTCTGGCCAGCTGTGAGTCCGGTGACCTTTACGGGGGCGTCACGCCGGAAGGTAAGGCACACACTGCTTGGCCCCTGCCCCACCGGAAGTCCACTCACCGGACTGCCGCAGCAGCCCCGCCAGCTTCCACACCAGGGAATCCTGCAGGGCCGTCGTCATGGCTACGGGACGCTGGGGGCGGAGCCTGGAGAAAGAGGAAGCGGAAGGGCCTCAGGTGGGTGGTCGTGCCGAACGCCAGAGGCATCTGCGCAAGCCCTAGTCTCAGGAAAAAGAAAAAGCAAGAAAGTGAAGAAGAGCGCTCTCCTGACTCCTCTTTGGAGGGAAATGAGATCTCGCCATCCACACCGACCTTCCCGCCCCGCGGTTCTACCAGCTCGGCAGCCGGGCACCTAATAATGACGGACAGGAAGTCCCGCCCCGGAAAAAAGGCGAGCCGGAAGGACAGCGGAAAGACACGCCTCCGCTGCCGGAAGCCACGCCCACGTCGGGGAATGTGGCGGATGGGGCGGTGCTGCAGGGTTTGGGTAGGGGCGGTCCCCCGGGGTTTGCAGCTTCTGTGTCCGGCTCGGCACCCCGATCGAGGCCCCTACATCTCAGCCCCGCCCCGGGGCCCCGCGCTGCTTGGGCGTCCTCTCCTCTCGCGGCGGCCCCGGTGCCAGTGAGGAAAACCAGACATGTTTGCAGACTGGGTGGAAAAGCAAAATTTGGAGAACCGAAATATTTAGGAAAGCCCATGTCCAAAGCGAACGATTTCCAACCTATATGTCACAAGAAGATTTTTCAATTTCTGTTTGGGGCCTCTTTGCCTCTCCTTTAGTCTCCAAGCGATCTTTTTTCCCCCCTGCAAAGATCTCAAGCTCCCACACGTCAGCGATTGATAGTGTGGCGCTAAGTGTACTTGGTCCTTCCATTTTACTGTGTTTTTTTCAGAACCACTGTATAATCACGCATTTTAAAAATCAAAACAAGCTCATTGTTTTGATTACTTGTGAAGGTCACTCAGTTTTGATACAGCTGAGACTACGAGTTCTTGGTGATGAGTTTGCATTGCAGCTTTCTCCAGCCTTTAGAAACACTGGCGTTAAAGACATCTAGAATATAAAGAAAAAGACCTTTTAAGAGAATTTTGGGTCTTTAGAGACGGCTGCTTTAATGGTGTTCTACAGAAGACAGTCAAACCACCATATTATAAACCAGTTGATGATAGGAATAGGGACGTAGTCCCCCTGATCTCAAGTTACCGGTTTTGAAGGTTAATTTTGTTCCGTGAGTCAAGGAAAGCCCACCTAGAAGCACTTCTGAAGGAAGAAGGGCATGACATCTGCTTTCCAGTTAGTGTAATGGAGGTAGGTGTCTCAGACAATGATATTTGCTCAGGATAGAGCAGGGTTCGGAAGGATAGTGCTGTGACTCATAACAGCACGTAACAACAAACATCTGCTTCCCAAACGTTGCAGTCTTGAAAACTCTAAAGAATCATTATGCATCCACAGTGTAAGAATCAAATACCAAAAACTCGGTTTCTGACAAAGTGCAGCTACCTCCATCCCACTCGCTTGCGTAGTTTCCAGCGAGCAACCACCTGTGATAAACCACACTCTGTCTGCTGGCAGACTTCCATAAAGTGGAACTCTCTTCAAGGACATAAGGGATTTTTTCTGCAGCCCTGTGTCTGAAGTAACCAGTAAGACTCAAATAGGTCTCCAAGCTGCTTCCCCACCATTAGGCTCAAACAAGTGTCCAAACTGCCTCCCTGAGCTATGGCTAACCAATAAAGAGCAAACTAGTACTAGAACTGCTATAAGTAACCAATCATAAACTGTGTAGCTAGACAAAGAAGCAAGAAAGTATAAAAGGGAGGACTCGCTTGGTCTCGGGGCTCTCGGGTGGATGCTGCAGTGTCAGCACGCGGGAGCCCAGGCTCGAACTCGAAATAAACTTTGTTAATTCGGCTAATTGGCTCGGTGGTCTTTTCCGGGGACTCGCTCCGTTACACACAGCACCTAACTACCATGTTGTTGTTGTTGTTATGTGCCGTCGAGTCGCCTGCGACTCATAACGACCCTATGTACAACAGCCCTAAACTCCGCTCTGTCCTGTGCC